GCCCCGCCGGCCAGGAGCCCCGTGCCATCCCGGGGACACAGGCGCTGCGTCGGGGTGCGCAGGCCCTCCCCGAGCTGCAGGGCAGACCCCTGTCGCCTGCAGTCCCCGAGACCACCGCCAGGCCCCCTCGGCAGCCCTTGATGCACAGCGTCCACTTGCTCCTTGGCCACCTTGTCTGTCCTCCCCTCCGCCCAGCCCCATCCTCAGCCCCGCCCCAGCCCCCCACTCTGGAGCCTTCCATCTTCCCAAGCTCCTAGAAGCAACGCTCATGAATCTGCACTGAGCTCGGAAAATTCCCCATACCCTGCCCTGTCCTCCACGAACCCGGGCCTCCTCCTCGCGTTTATGAGGCCCTGTCCCTTCGGGGACAGCTGTCCTCCTCACCCCATCCCTGCCCTCTTGACATCTCTCCTAGGGCTCTGTCTTCCCCCCCCCATCTCCCTGTCATCCTGAATGCGCCTCCCCCTTATTCCTTCCCAGTATCCTGACTACCTTGTCACCTATCCTGTCCCTTGGAGAGTTGCCTCCTAGCCCCTGGAGCCTCTGTCCTCCTTGGAGTCCCTTGCTGTCCCCTCTCTCCTTCCTCTCCGTAACCAGAGCTCAACTGAGCCGCCCGGAGTGTCAGCTCTGAGTGCTGACTGGGGAGGGAGACTGGAGACATAGCCCCCAGGGATGCTGGCCCCCAGTGTCCCTGTCTACCCTCCCCGACTGGCCCCTGCCTAGAAGGCGGTGCTGCTTGATACAGCAGTGTGGACAGGGGGTTCAGGGTCATCAGGGTTGCACCTCCCCCTCAACAACTCATTCTGGCTTTTCTCTTTCAGAAAACCGGCCACTCCCGCCGGGCCTTTGGCCGACTCACCCATGGTGCGTGGACCTTGGCTGTCCCTTGCTAGCCCATGCCCACTCCTCTTGGTCCCTGCCCCTTGATGAGTCATCAGTGTCCTGGAAATAGCCTATAAGATGTGGGAACCGTCACCCACACATACAGTCACCTACCCACCTGCTCCATGCCCTGCAATCCAGAAAGGGGTTAGCCGTGAGAGAGGGGGCTCACTAGCACATCCCACCATAGCCTCAGGCTCACCCTTTTTGGTATGAGGGGCCTAGTGGGAGGAGCCCACTGCCTTGCTTTGGCTCCTGCTTATCATGGCACCTGCAGGGAAACTGAGGCACAGAACCTGATAGATTGGGGAAGTAGACGATACAGCCAGAAAACAAGCTCCCAGCTTAAGCTCTGGGAATGTTTGTGGATCATTCAGCAGATAAGAGGGATCCTGAGACAGGTGCCTGCCGCATCGTGATGCAGGCCAATGCGGGGTTGCTTTGCAAGGAGCCAGAGCACAAGGGAAATATGGTAATAGAGAGTGAGCCTGGTCCCTCATGAGCAGGGCAGGGTTCTGTAGCTGGTGTGTGTGTGTATGTGAGTGAGTGTGTACCCAGAGCCAGTGGGAGCACAATGTGGAGACATGCGAACACCAGGGGTGCCAGGCTTCTGGACTATTGGACTAACCAACCAGGACACGGGCACAGGCCTGCAGGAGCTCCTTAGCTAAGGAGCCATACTTTGACCATCCCAAGTTTCAGCTACCTTCACCCCCCCCCCCCGCCCAGAGCAGCATCCCTGGGCACTAGGTACCGTGACGTCCCCCTCTGTCCTCCTGCCCACCATGCCCAAACCCACAAACGCTCTTATAACAGTCTGTCCCTGTCTCTCTCCTGTTGCTCCTTTGGAAGCGAAGTTTTCCGCTCCTGCAGAAAGCAAAGTTACGGTAGGAAACTGCCTTTCACTCTAGCCCTCCACTCCCCCCTCCCCAGCCAGGCCCAGCCTGTCCTCACCCTGCCTCAGCTATGCCCTGCTGTGTTCTGGCTGATGTGGGGTTGAGGACAGGCTGGCTCCGCAGCTGGCCGAGTGCCCTGACATACGACTCTGAGGTGATTCCTTTGTTCCTGGGGTACTGGGATCTAGAATGCAGGGCCTTGGAAGCTAGGACTTTATTTGGGGGGGGTCACTGATTAGGGGAGGAGGGGGACAGGAAGAAGCTTTCAGAATCCATTTAGTGGTTGGGAGGGGGACAGTGCCCTTAAGGGCCCCAAGAAAGCAAGGGAGAGTTGCCAGGGACCCAGAGAGGGACCAGAAAAGAGCATGGCAGTTTAGCATGGCAAGGGGATGTGAAGAGCACAAGGGGGAAGGAAGAACATTAAGTTGGAGCCTGCAGTGGGGGAGGCAGGAGGCAACAGAGGAAGAGTTGGTGTCAGAGGAAGAAGGGCCCTGCCCACACAGACCCCTTCTTCTCCAGACTCGGAGACGGGTGAGGATGACATCAGCGATGTTCAGGGGACCCAGCGCCTGGAGCTTCGGGATGATGGGGCCTTCAGCACCCCCACGGGTGAGCTATCTGATGTGCTCAGCCAAAGGTGGGCTTTCCACAGAGGCACGGCGGCCTCACCATACTCCTTTCCCTAGGGGGCTCTGACACGCTGGTGGGCACCTCCCTGGACACCCCCCCGACCTCCGTGACAGGCACCTCTGAGGAGCAAGTGAGCTGGTGGGGCAGCGGGCAGACGGTCCTGGAGCAGGAAGTGGGCAGCGGTGGTGGCACCCGCCGCCTCCCGGGCAGCCCAAGGCAAGCACAGACAGCCGGGGCCGGGCCACGGCACCTGGGGGTGGAGCCGCTGGTGCGGGCATCTCGAGCTAATCTGGTGGGCGCAAGCTGGGGGTCAGAGGATAGCCTTTCGGTGGCCAGTGACCTGTACGGCAGCGCGTTCAGTCTGTACAGAGGACGGGCGCTCTCAATCCACGTGTAAGTAATGGCCTGGCTCTGGCCTGCACTGTCCACCTCACCATGCTGTCCTGCACTGCCCTTCATCGCTCCATCGGCCTCCACTCCCACCGGCCCTGCACTGCCCGGCCCTCCACGTGCCGCCCTCTGTGCACTCTCACTCCCATGGCTTCCACCTCCTCCCACAAGGCTCCATCCTCCTCCTGTCCCATCACCACCCACATCTTCGCTCCCACCTGTCCTGGCTCACCGTGCCATCCCACTGTCTCGTGGACCCCCCCCTTATCCCTCCTCCTCCTCCTCCCAGCTCTTCGGTTTCCCAGGGGCCCTCTCTCGCCTCACCCATTCAGGCTCCAGTTGTCCCCAGGATTCCCCCCCCTCGGGGGCCCCCTCCGTGCCTGCTGTCTCAGCAGCTGCTGCCTTTTCATCTCTCTGCACATTCCTGTTCCCATGTGGGCCTTTTTCTGGGAGGAACGGAACCTTGCCGCACGGCAGCTCCCGGGAGAGCAGGAGCGCAACCAGGAGAGAGAAGAGAGCGAGATGGTCAGGGGGCAGAGGGGGCAAGGGGTTCGGGAGCAGGAGGAGGTTGTGGGGCGTGCAGGGGAGGGGGCAGGACACTGGGCGACAAATAGGGTGTGGACAAGAGGGTGCCCTGAGATACCGGGCTTGGAGAGATGGAGGCAGGGACACATGAAGCGGGTGGGATTGAGGGTTATCCTCACAGGAGGGGTATGGAACAGAGATGATAGAATGAAGTCTTGGAGCCATTTTTGGAGGTTTGGGGGGACTGGTAGATAACAGAAGGGAGTATTGTAGCAGAAGAGGGAGTGGTTGATGATAGTGATATTGGGGGTACTCAGGAAGCTGAGAGGGGGCCTGATTTGTGATGGGTATAGATGTGTGGGAGGTACCATCATGGAGAAGAAAGAAGGGGCCTGCTTCATGCGGGAAGGTTGCTTTGAGCACGGCTGGAGGGTCCAGGAATGGTCAGGGGAGGGGTCAGGGGTGGGAGCGGAGGCCGAGAGGCCCCCTTGGCTTATCATGTTGGCATTAAGCCGGGGCCCCAGACATGCCTCTCGTTTCCCTGCCTTTCTTTACCAGGCTCCAGTCAGAGCCTGGAGTTGCTATGGCAACTTCGGAGGAACCCATTTCCTTAGTGATGTCTGTGGTACGGAGGCTGGCCTAGAGCACCGAGCTGCCGGCAAGAGGCCTTCTAGGCTGTCCCCAATTTCTCTCCATGCTTTGTCTTATCCCTGCCCCACCCCTAAAGGAGACTGCTTCTTGCAGCTGGCTGGCTGAGGTTTGGCTCCCTTGGGCTCTCTGTGTTGCCACCCTCAGCCAGCCAGAGGTGACCTTTGTGGTGTGAGGGCTTGACCCAGGGAGGCTAGCCTATCATTACACTCAGGGACTCCTAGAACTTTGGCCTGTGGGCAGTACTCTACCTATCCTCCCTATGTGTCCCCAGAAGCCCAGACATGTTGGAAGGAATAGGATTGGCCTCAGGAATCAGACTCCCTGGGCACCCACTAACCTTTCCCAGCTGTGCCACCTTGGTGAGGCACTTAACCTTCTGAGGCCTCAGTTTCTTCATCGGTAGATGGGAGCATAGCTATTTCTTCCTCAAAAAAGATTCATGAGAAGATGAAACGACACGATGAATTTTAAACAGTTAGAATATGCCTGGCACATGCCATGAGCCAGTTCACAGGTTTTTATTAAGCTCTCTCTGCTGTGCCAGGTATGATGTTACGGATTCCTCTTCTTGTTAGCCTTTGTTTGTGGTACTCCTCATGGGACTTAGGCAGGGAAACTGGGACTCCTTTTTAGGCATCAGGCAGGTAAGATGAGTTCTGTGGGCCCTCTAGATCCTTCCCTCCCACCTTCTGTGCCTCATTCAGGACCAGTTGGTAATTTATGAGCAGATTCTTTTGGGGGGGCTTCCATGTTTCTTGGGGAGGTGGTGGTGGTTGTGTCCCAAAGACTCTAGGCACCTTTCTTTGGGTATGCTAAGGCCAAAGGCCTGTTTTAGGGACAGATTGATCATGAACCAAAAAAGCTTGTTGTCATGGGGTGTCAACTCAGAGCGACTCAGATAGGACAGGATGGGACTGCCGCACAGCGTTGCCAAGGCTGTAAATCTTTACCAAACAGGTCGCTCCTTTCTCCCTGGAAGCGGCTGCTTGGGTGCAAATCACTCTCAATAGTCACTCAGTGCTTAGTCACTGCACCACCAAGGTTCTTTAGATTGATCCTAAGATTGGGAAACTGGGTCTCCTGGAGCCCCTCCCCCAGAAACCCCAGCTGCGACCTGCTGGGTCCTATGGTGCTAGTGGTGGCATAAAGGGCAGGTCAGAGGTCTGAATAGGCGCTGGACTATCACAGGCTTTGCTCCCTGATGGCCGGTGTGTGGTGCAGGAGGCAGAAGCATTTTTCTAGCGGCCCCACGTGAAGGGGTGTGAGTCCTGAGGATGGGCAGGGGTGTGAGGGCCAGCTGGGGGCAGGAATGAGTGGCAGGCTGCATTCCTTAGAGGGCTTTTCCCCATCCCACCCTCCCCAATTCCTGTTGCACTTCATCCTCAGGTTTAAGCCTCATTCTTTTCTGTCTCTCATTCTCACTTCTGTTTCCCAGCTTTTGGGGGCTGGGAAGAGGGGCTGAGGCTGTACCTGGCCCCTGCACTAGCCAGATGTTCTGGTGCCAGAGCTGCCAGCCTCTCTCCCCAGCACTGCTCTGGCTGTGCTCTCCTGGGGGTGGTGGCGGGACAGGGGAGTTTGGCCCATGTCACCCCAAGCCTGCCCAGCATGCCCCACCGCTCAGTTTCTGTCACGAGCTGAGGGTCTAGGAGGGTTGTCCCCCTAAATATTCTCCACGTCTTGGTTCTGCAGTAGCGTCCCTCAGAGTGGACTGCGCAGGGAGGAGCCGGACCTTCAGCCTCAGCCGGCCAGCGAAGCCCCACGTCGCCAGGCCCTGCCACCTCCCTCCAAGTCCGCGCTGCTCCCTCCGCCATCCCCTCGAGTGGGAAAGCGTCCCCCGCCGGGACCCAACGCCCAGCCCCCGGCACCCCCCACGTCGCCCCACCGGCGCACTCTGGAGCAGGTGCTGCCCGAGGACGCCACCTCCGAGGAGAAGCGGGGCAGAAAGTCCAAGTCGTCGGGGCCCTCGTTGACGGGCACGGCGGAGTCCCGGCCGCAGACGCCGCTGAGCGAGGCCTCGGGCCGCCTGTCGGCGCTGGGCCGCTCGCCCAGGCTGGTGCGCGCCGGCTCCCGCATCCTGGACAAGCTGCAGTTCTTCGAGGAGCGCCGGCGCAGCCTGGAGCGCAGCGACTCGCCGCCCGCGCCGCTGCGGCCCTGGGTGCCCCTGCGCAAGGCCCGCTCGCTGGAACAGCCCAAGTCCGAGGGCGGCGCGCCATGGGGCAGCCCCGGGGCCTCGCAGGAGGAGCTGCGGGCGCCGTCGGGCAGCGTGGCTGAGCGCCGCCGCCTGTTCCAGCAGAAGGCCGCCTCCCTGGACGAGCGCACGCGGCACCGGAGCCCGGCCTCTGACCTTGAGCTGCGCTTCGCCCAGGAGCTGGGCCGCATCCGCCGCTCGGCATCGCGGGAAGAGCTGGTGCGCTCGCACGAGTCCCTGCGCGCCACGCTGCAGCGCGCCCCGTCCCCGCGAGAGCCTGGGGAGCCGCCGCTCTTCTCTCGGCCCTCCACGCCCAAGACCCCGCGCGCCCACAGCCCCGCCGCCGCCTCCCCGCCGCCCCCGCCGAGCGCCGCAGCCAGGCCCGGGGATGAGCCGGGGAGGCCCCGGAGCCGCGGGCCCAGGACGGAGCCGGGGGAAGGACCCCAGCAGGAGGTGAAGCGCAGGGACCAGTTCCCGCTGACCCGGGGCAGAGCCATCCAGGAGTGCCGGAGCCCTGTGCCGCCCACAGCTGCGGAGGGCCCCGAGGCAAGGACGAAAACCCCTTCAGGGCGCAAGCGCGAGCCCCCAGCGCAGGCAGTTCGTTTTCTGCCCTGGGCCACGCCGGGCCAAGAGGGCGCTGCAGTGCCCCAGACCTTGGAGAAGAACAAAGCTGGGCCTGAGGCTGAGAAGCGGCTGCGCAGGGGGCCTGAAGAGGATGGACCCTGGGGTGCCTGGGACCGAAGAGGAGCCCGCAGCCATGGCAAAGGTCGCCGAGCCCGCCCCACCTCTCCTGAACTGGGTAAGGTCGGGGGTGCGGCGGGGGGGGCGTGCCTTAGAAGATTCTGGGGTCTGGGGAGAGGGGTCCTGGAGGTCTAGACGGCTGTGTAAGAGCCTCCCCCGGTGTGTGGGTGTGTAGCTGCAGTTCACAGGGTCGACTTGATGTGAAGGATTGTGTTAGAACCAGTCTGCAGAGGAATATTTTGATGGCGGTGGGACAGGACTGATATATTATTAGTACCACCTGCTCTGGTGCTTGCCACAGACCTTCTGGGTCCAGTGGCCTGCTAGACTGTTGGGCCAAGGACCAGGTATGGGGAGATACTTTCTGAGAACCTCCACACCCCAACTTTTACATGGGAAATGAGAACATGACCAGCCTTAAATCATTTGTGAGGACCTGATGCAGGCAAATTGCAGCCAGCCAACTCTGCCCTGTGTTTCCCCCCCATCCTCCGCCATCGTGTGGCCCCCTTGACCCCTAAGATCTGGCCCAACCTCCCCTTCTAGCCTCCTTTCTGGCGTCCTGTTGTCCCTGAACCAATGAGCTGACTGTGGACTCTGACCCTGTCTTCCTGTGTGTTGTCTCCCAGCCTTGCTATGGGAGGTGCCAAGCCAGAATGTCCCCGCCCCTTAGCAACTCCTGCCCACCTTGAACATTCAGCTTGGGCCCCACCTTCCTGAGGGACAGAAGAAGTAACTCCTACCACGGCCTGCTCCCTACTGCTTCCCAGGCTAGAGGCCTTTTGCTGTCCAGTGCTACCCCAAGACTTGTCAGCATCTTGTCCATTCTACATAACCATCTTAATTTTGTTGGGGTTTTTTTGTTACAATTTCTCATTTAAATATTAGAGTTAAGTCCTTGTACCTCATCTTGCTGATTACCTTTATTGCAAATACACAGCCATGTATGAGGCTTTACCTCGGCTAGCCACTTAGAAATGTTATCTCTTATAATCAGCATGCCAGTTTTGTAATATTTCTGTGTTACTGACTCCATTCTACAGAAAACAAAACTAAGGTTAGAAGAGATGATGGTATTTGTCCAAGGTTACGTAGGTATAAGGGGGCAGAATTGGGATTTTTCACTGTGTTCTTTATTGCTAACCACACCACCCTTTAAGGAGCTCTGGTGGCATAATCCAGTGTTACACCCTTGGGCTAAAGACTAGGCATAACATTTCCTGAGGTTCCACCAGCGGCTCCAAGAGAATAAGATGGGCCGCCTCCTGTCACGGCTTATAGCCTTGACACCTGGTGGAAGGTCTCTATGTGTTAGGATCGACTCAGTAACAGTTAAGAGTTTGTACTACCCGTAGGGAGCTCTGGTGGCCTAGTGGCAAGAAGCTGCACTGCAATCCCAGAAGCGTGCAGTTTGAATCCACCAGATGCTCTGCTGGAGAAGGGGGGACAATCTCCTCCTGTACCAGTCAGATCTGATTTGACGCTACACACACACAAAAATAACAAAATAATTTTTGGTTTTTTTAAAAAAGTTTTTACTACCCTTAACCAAGGTAACAGAATGTCAGAGTTGTCAAATAGCAGATACCAAAGATCCGTGACAGTGGAATTTGAATATTCTTCTGGATATATGCCCTTCCGGAAAGTTGAGACATTGTCTCTCTGGAGCCCATCCCATTTTAGTCCCTGGTATGCAAGTCGGTGCAGTGTTCCTATTGCACACGAATGAAGGGAGACACAGCTGGTGTTCAAAAGGCCTCTTAGACCATTTCATGACCCACCTGCCCCTCCTTTTGAGTCCAGTGGCATCTTACCCACATCACTACTTTGACAAGTTCCGTTACCCTGTGACTTCACTATTACTGGTTGAGTCTTGAGTGGGTTACCTTGTCCTCCCTAAGGAGTGACTGATCTTTTCTCTAGAAGCTTGTGAAAGCCTTGTGACCCTCAGGGTGTTTGCACCTAGAAAACAAAACATTGTTACATCGATTCCAACTTGCAGAAACCCTGTAGAACAGGACAGAACTGCCCCAGAGGGGAACTTGGGTGGCATAGGCTGTATAATTACGCTATAATTGCTGTGATTTGAATCCACTGGTCATTCGGAGGGAGAAAGATGGGCAGTCTTCTTCTGCTGTGATTTACAGCTTCAGAAACCTGCTGGAGGGTCTCTATGTGCTGGACTCGACCCACTGGCAGTGGTGAGGGGTGTGGTTCATTCTTATGGGAGTAAATGACCACTTATGTCTCTGGCACAGCTGCTCCTGGTGGATTCAAACTCCTGACCTTCCAGTTAACTCCCAAGCTTTAACTACTGTGCTACAGGGGCTAGTGCCTTGCATAGGGCCTGGTGTATGTGCTTGCCGTTTGATTGATAGTAATTCTACACAGTACAGTCCCTGCCTTTGTCAAGAGCTGGTGTTCTTCTAATCATGGCTGAAGCTGAGGATCAGGGGAGCTACGCAGAGTCCCAGCTCTCCTGTCCAGTTGGAGAACCCCCTTCTACCTGCTTCTTCTCAGGAGAGACTGCCCCCTTCTTGCCCCTGCCCTCTGCCTTCATTCCCACAAGGACCATGGCCTTTTACCTGTCCCTTGTGTCCCCACCAGAGTCTTCTGATGACTCATACGTGTCTGCTGGAGAAGAGCCCCTGGAGGCGCCGGTGTTTGAGATCCCCCTGCAGAATGTGGTGGTGGCACCAGGGGAGGACGCGCTGCTCAAATGCATCATCACCGCCAACCCCCCACCCCAAGGTAGGCTCCAGGGCTGAGGTCGAGACAGACGGGGAGACATGTGAGTTGGAGAGGAGGTTACCTCTCCCCACTCCTGCCAGCATTTCCTCAGAGAAAGATAGGGAAGGAAGACAGATTGACTTGTCTGTGGGGGCTAGCTTGACTCCTGTGGCGATGGGGAGATTTCCCAGAATCCTGGGAGAGAGAGAAGGGCAGGCCTGGGGTGGGATGCAGAGTGACTTGGGTGCTTGTTGTGTGTGTGTGTGTGTGTGTGTGTGTGTGTGTGTGTGTGTGTGTGTGTAGAGGAGATTGTCCCTAGCAGACTCCTGTGGGCTGTGACCAGCTGCTTCTCCTGCTGCTTCCCCACAGTGTCCTGGCAGAGGGATGGGTCATCGCTGCGAAGTGATGACCGTCTTCTCATCCGGGCGGAAGGCGAGAGGCACACCCTGCTGCTCAGGGAGGCCCGGGCAGCCGATGCTGGAAGCTACACTGCCACTGCCACCAACGAACTGGGCCAGGCCAGCTGTGTGGCCACACTGGCTGTGAAACCTGGTAGGGAACCTGCCAAAGCGAGGTGGGGGGGAGTGGGGCAAGCAGGGGGCCGGACCCCCTTCCCTCTCCCAGCCTGGACCCCAGGCTCTGAAGTTGTGCGCAGTCTGCCCTCCAGCTGCCCTGGGAGGCATTTTAAATGGCCTCAGAGCAGGGGCCAACTTCCCTCAGCCAGGTCGTGGAGTCACTGAGATTTGTCATCAGCATCTGCTAACAGCTGTCGTCCCATGGCACTTCTGTGACAGGGTCCTGAGGGGAGAGCAGATTGTCCTTGAGTTCCTGAGAAAAAGCGTCTCTTGTCTTACACGATTCACGAGCTACCAGTGCCTCTGGGGTCATTTCCTGTCCAACCTAAGCCCACCCCTTCAAAAGAGAGGCTCCCAGCCCTCCTTTGCTCCTGTTAAGCCCAAGCCCTCTTAGAAGGCACAGCTGAGAGCAGCTCACGGAAGAGGCTGGGCTTCAGGCTGCCTCGCTTTCTATTTTTACGAAAGCCCTTACTTGGTATCGGACTACTTCCTTTGGGTTTAAGCCCAGTTTTTTTTTCTGGTTCAGAGCAGGGCTGGACCTGTGTCAACATGCACGGCCAGTTCCACTCATTCAGGTTGCTGGATCTGACTGTGTGCTGGACCCTGGACTGTGCCGTGGGGACAGCAGGTGGAGGCTTACAGGAAAAGGCACAGACTCATCCCTCAAGGCTATTTTGGTTGGGTGACCAAGCCCATGCCAGAGAACCCCAGTGGGCCTTGATGAGAAACGCAGTGTTTCTGGAGGCTGGGAGGAAGAGGCATCATGGAAGGCTGCCTGGAAGAGCGGCCCTGAAGGAGGCCTGAGAATGGTAGTGGGAGGAGCAAGACGTGTTAATAGAGGGGACAGCATGAATCGCTCCTCTGTCCCATCTTTCACTCCACACAAGGCCTGTCTGCTCTGGTGCCTCAGCCTCCCCGTGGCCTGTAGTGGGAGTTCGTGGTGTGAGATCCAAGGCCCAGTCCTGAGTTAAATTGTTTTAGTTACACCTTTTGGCTATACAGTTTTGGTTGGAGAAGTGATGAGTCTTTTCTCTTCCTGGGCTTGCTTGTCCTTCCTGGATGCCCATGATCCAGGCTGTCTTCCGCACCCCCGCCGGGCGCTGAATCATACCTGCCCCTCCACGCTGTGCTTTGGTCCTTCCACCACCTCTGGGATCTGGCCTCACACTCAGTTCCCAGTCCGCCTTCGGGGACCCAGGCCTGGTTCCAGAACTCCAGTCGATACCTGGCTTGGACTGAGATTCGGCCCTGGTGGGGCGGGCGGGGGGAGTGCCCCATGCTGGCAGCGGGCCATCTGGGAGCCTTTTAAGGTCTGGAAGGAGGATTCTGTCAGCACTTGACTGGGAGTTCTGTGTTTGCTGGAAGAAGAAGCTCCCTGCGCTGCGGCTTCCTCATTTGTAAAGCAGAGATAATTATACCGTCCTCACGGATGAAGGCGAACGTGTGAACACGCTCTGTGAGCTGCAAAGCTGTAGACAAATGTTGGTTGTTAGCGTTATTAAGGACGCTGTGGTGCACAGGGATGCAGGCTTCCGTGGGGGCTCAGCGAAGCCTTTTTCTTCCCTGCTCTTTCTGCAGTTCCTCTGCTTCTTTCTTGGGGACTCCACTCCATCCCCTCCATAATTCCCAGTCCCTGTGTCCCCAGCCCATCATGCATCTCAAGAGGGCTTGTCACCCACCCTGGGGAGCCAGCAAGGCTCCGTCTGAGGCTCAGCCCTTGGCCCCAGCAGCGCAGCCCCCATAAGTCAGGCTGGGCCCTAGGGGCAGGCGCTTGGGCCAGGCTGAGCAGTGATTCTCTTTCTTACCCTACAAGGCACTGTTTTTGGCTTGAGCATCTGGACAGGGGCCAGTGGACCCAGAGAGCGGCAGGAGTGGGTGGGACCGGTGGGTGGCACAGATGTTTGGGAAAGGAGGGATCCCCGGCTAGGGGAGGTGTCAGGCAGTGTGGCTGTGGGTGTCTGGGGAGAAAGTCAAGAGAGAACGTGAGTGGAAGATGCTTGTGTGAAGCTGCTTCTCCTTTTTGCTTCTCAATGCCCTCCCCCTTCCAGTGTCATGGTAACCAGGGCTGGCTGCCCAGGGCCCTCTTGGGGTGCCTACCAAACAGGGTCTGTTTTTGAGAGCCCACTGAGCTCAATTCCTGGGTAGGAGCCACGGAAACCAGGGAATGGGGAGCTAGGGAGTGTGGCTGTGGTTTGTGTGTTAGGGTCCGGGTGGGGATGGTCTGGGCTTTACTCATCCTCAGTCCCTGAATAACCCTACTGAATAACTCCCAAAGGATGTGTGTGCTGGGCAGGTGTTGAGGAGTGGGGGGCTGCGTGCTTAGGGGAATCGAAGCGTTCTCAGCTGCTGCCTACATCCATCACAGAGAGCGTTTATTGAGTACCGACCTGGTGCCAGGTGCTTCATCTCTCTAAATAGTCTCTGCTGCTTGGAAAGCGCCAGATACTTTGTCTAAACTCTTTCATATCCCTTCCTTTAACTGAGCTGTAGAAGACTGTATACATTCCTGGGAGGCATATGATGGGGGTGACACTCCCATTTTACAGATGGGAAAGCAGAAATGTGGAGAGTAAAGTGGCAGAGTGTGCACAGCCAGCAGCCTTTGTTGTGCATTTTCAGTCTGTCTAGGGGTGTTATAAGCAACATGTGCATGTAACCACTACCATCAAGTCGATTCCAGATGACAGCAGCCCTCCAGGATGGAGTAGATCTGACTGTCATAGGCTGTAAGTCTTTATGGAAGGTAGACCATACAGCTTTATCCCGGAGAATGGCTGATGGATTTGAACTGACAACCTTTTGGTTAGCAGTCTAACATTGAATCCACAGTGCAACCAGGAATCTTCCCTGTGATTTTGAAGAGGCAGAAATACTCACACATAAAACCATGACGCTTGGTGTGGATGGCAGAACAAAATAACAGTTACAGTTAGTGAGTGAGTTCTCATTGTGTGCCTGGCCCTGTGTTCACTGAGTTAGCATATCGAACCCAGGACTCTGAAGTGATTGATGATCTAACTCACAGTCTGCATGTGGCCTGGTTTTGACTTTTACATTAAGCTTCTCCAACAATTTCTTCCACAATCAGTCTGATTCCTGTGCAGCCCATCAGGTGAGATCCATGTGTAAAGTTGTCATTTGTGCCTTCTTTAGAAAGCTATTTGCCATGGATGAATCATTGTAAATACAAAATTCAGTCTTTCTATATCCAGCCTCATTTCTGTCACCACGGCCATATTTTCCAACAACTATTCCATCTTCACTGTTTCTCACCTTTGTGTTGTAATCACGAATTATCATTAACAATCTTGATTGCATGCTCTGTCAATTTTGGACTGCAAGATTTGGTAAAAATTCTCAAGTTCTTCCTCTTTGGCTCCAGTTGTAGGAGCACGTATTGGAATGGTAGTCATGTCTTAACAGGCCTGCCTTGTTTGCATATGAATAATATCCTATCACTCACAACGTTGTATATTAGGATAGAACTTGAAACTGACTTTTTAACTATGAATGCAACACCATTCTTCTTCTGTTTTTCATTCTCTGTGTAATATATCATATGATTATCTGATTCAGAGTAGCCAAAGCTGGTCCATTTCATCTCACTAATGCCTAGTATATCGGTGTTTGTGCGTTCTGTTTCATTTTTAACAATTTCCAGTTTTCCAGCATTCAAGCTATGTACATTTCATATTCAAACTATTGAACAATATTTGTTATTGTTTTCTCATTTCAACTGACTTCCAATCTGGGCTCTACCATTACACTATTGTAACTATCCTCATTCCTATAATATTCATAGGGTTTCCAGAGGCCTGTTATTTAGGAAGTAGATGGTTCATTCTTCTTCCTAGTCTGTCATAATCGGGGAGCTAAATAAGTCCACAGGAACCAAGATATGGTCTTAATTCTATCAGAATTTCCAGACCATCTTAGGAATAGGTTTGAGGCGTGGAACACCAGTGATTGAAGACCAGATGAGCTGTGGGATGATATCAAGGATATCATTAATGAGGGGAGCTCTGGTGGCCTAGTGACAAGGAACTGCAACTACGATCGATCCCAGAGGCGCACGGTTCGAACCCACCAGATGCTCCGCCGGGGAAGGAGGGACAATCTCCTCCTGTACCAGTCAGATCTGATTTGACAGTACACGCACACAAAAAAATTAAAAAAAAATTAATAAAAAAAAAGGATATCCTTAATGAAGAAAGCAAAAGGTCATTAAAAAGAAGAAAAAGAAAAAAATTAAAATGGATGTCAGAAGAAACCCTAAAAATTGCACTGAAATGCTGAGAAGCCAAGACAAAAAGAAAACATGCCTAAGTAAAAGAGCTGAACAGAAGATTTCAAAGGGCAGCTTGAGAGGACAAAAATAAAGTATAATAATGGAATGTGCAAAGAGCTGGAATTGGAGAATAAAAGGGGAAGAACTTGCTCTGAATTTCTCAATCTGAGAGAACTGAAAACCAGATTTAAGCCTTGTGTGGCAATATTGAAAGATGCTTTGGACAACATTTTTAATGACCCAGGAAGCATCAAAAGAAGATGGAGGGAACACACAGAATCACTGTATCAGAAAGAACTGACTGATACTGAAAAATTTCAGGAAGAGCCATTTAAACATGAGTCAGTGGTATTGAAGGCATTGACAATAAATTAAGACCCCAAGAATCAATGAGATACCAATTGACTTGTTTCAGTTAACAGATGCAGCCCTGGATACACTCACCAGTTTATGTCAGGAAATTTAGAGGACAGTTGTCTGGCCAACATATCAGAAGAAGGCCATATTTGTTCTCATTGCCAAGAAAGGTGATCCAACAGAATGTGGAAACTTCATGAAACAAAATCATTAATATCATATACTGAAGATCATTTTATGAAGATCATTCATAAAAGGCTAGAACAACACGTAGAGAACTGCCAAAAGTTCAAGTAGGATTTAGAAGAGGCCATAACACCGGGGATATCATT